TTCCTAATACACCAGCTCATTATGGAAAATATTTTTTGCAATAAAAAATAAACACAGCATCCATAATTTGACCAGTCAGAGGTAATCTCTGTTACTATTTGGGGTATATCCTGAGGTGTATGTGCATTTATATCCATAATGTTTTTTAACAAAAGTGGGATCATATTTTTAGCCTACTATTATCACTTACTAATACTTTGAAAACATCATTACATATTAAATATTCTATGTCATTTTTATTGGCTACATATTATTTCATAATTTGGTTATAACAGTTTATTTCATATTGTCGAACATCCTTGTACCCAGTTTATAAGATCATAATTGATCTCCTTAGTAATCACTTCAAGAATAACTTATATTTTGATGATAGGCTATGACAGTGATGTTACAAGAGAGAATGAAATCAGTTATACCATCAGAGCCTTATCTACAAATATTCGCCCAATGTTTGGAATCAAGCCTCATTTGCAACAAAAAGAACCTTCAATTGATGAGAGGTAACAATGAAGTTTAAAACTAGATGAAGAAAAAGATAACTGATATTAAAATTAAAATTAAACTTATTATTTAAATGGATTTTTTGCAAAAAAGTAACAGTGGTCTTCTTGCTTTATACAATTCCAAGCACCTCTTAGAAAATATGTTTGTTTTTAAATACATGTTGGTGGTAATACTTTCTGTGAGTAGTTTAGGGAATAATACATATATATAAAGTCGATATGATTAAAGTAATCTTTCTCTGCTGAAGACAATAAAAAAAATAATCTTATTTGCTAAATTTTATAAATATATGTCATGGAGTTGGGGGAGATAATAAAAATTGAATCCAATACCAAGTGCATTTTAAGAAGCCGTGAGCAGAAGTAGGTTTCAATTTTGAAAAGGGCTGCCTATCCATGTGCCTTTATCAACATAGACAATCATCATTTCAAAAATTTTCAAAAAAGGGAGGTTGTCTTTAATGGGAATTATTGGTCTTTGTTTAGGATCAGCAAATCAAAAATAAGGACACACGCACAGTAATTTTATGAGGAGAGATAATTTTTTAATAAAGCCTCTGTGCTAGATGACAGATCACAAGAGAAATTGTGAAGCCAATGCTTTTAAAACCAAAGATGGAAAACAATAAAGAGGCATATGGATTGGACATCGACTTCAGAAGTGAAGGTTTAAGAATGATAAAGGGAAAATATCCAGAAACAGTAGCGAGGAACAGAGAGGGAGTGGGAAGGGGAACCAGCAGTGACTTCTATAGAAGGCTGAAATGAGGAAAACTTTTCTTACGAGAAGTTAGTAGGAGTATTTGAGGGAAAAGCTAAAAATGAAAGGGAATCAATTCACAGTTGAACAGATTTGTGGAAAAAATGTGTGGCCAGTGAGGGTAGTGTTGAAGACTCTTAAAGCTCAGCTAGGTAGGAATGCCATTACAGAAAAGCTTTGACAGAGGGATTTGAGTTTGCACCTGCGGGTTTAACATTCAGGGACAGGGATGAAGTTAGAGGGTGAGATGCACTTGAGTGTGGGGAAAGGGAGGACTAGAAATTCTGTGACGTGACTGACCCCAGTACTCCCACAGAAGTTCTAGGTGGAATGTTCAGGTCCTGATGCCTCCTCAGCTCCTCTTCCAGGTGCCAGGTGTGCTGACGGTGTATCTCAGACAATAGGAACAGGAGGTCACCTAACGAAGGGAGATAGAGAGTGATCATCCATTTGTCTTTATGTATTAAGAGGCTGAGTATTGAATTAGGGATACTTTTTAAGAAAGCTGATCATACCATAATTTAATACTTGCACAGAATTCCAGGTTTAAGCAACTTGCTAGAAAGCAGCATCATATAGTGCAAAGGACATAGATTTTGGAATCAGATAAATGGGTTAAAATACTCATTTTTATCATTGACTAGTCGTGCAAGATTTGAAAAATTATTCATTCGTTCTGAACTTAGGTTTCCTTAGTGGTAAAATGAACATTATAACCCCTAACTTATGGAGTATTTCAAGATTTAAATGAAACACTGTAAATCAAGAATTTAGATAGTAGGTTTTCACCAATGACACTCTTCCCTTGATGAAATACCAAGTAACCTGAGGAGATACCTGGTAAATACTGAAACTATTTCTGAAATTTGATATTCACAAAGTAATGAGCACTACATAAATATTTATTAATTAAAGGAATATATAAAATATGCAAATGTGGATGTTATTTAAATTTTATAATTAGAATATTTCCAGTATAGTGCTTAATATTACTTA